CTGTTTCAGCTGTACTTATAGCTAACTATTAGCTAACTCAGTGTTTCCCACAGATATGAAATATACTTGGGCGGGTGGTGGCAAGGAAGGGGGGGGGGGGGTGCGCGAAAAAAAAAAAAAGTTTTAACAACATTATTTATTGACTTTTCATTCCGGTATAATCATTTTGCACAAAGATGGCACTGTTTGTCAGAGCACTTCATCCTTCTGGGATTTCATGAAGAACAGCTCCAACGCCTGTGTGTATGGGAATTCCTCTGGTGCTGGTCCATTAACTGCCAGTGTTTCCCACAGATCTGAAATATACTTTGGGGGGTGGTGGTAGCGGGGGGGGTTGAGGTGACGTGCAACAACATTAACCTTTCTGTTGGTCGCTTGTTAGCAGACCCTTCACGCAGAGCGAACAGGTACAGGTACAGGCAGGGTCCATAATGATAGCCCTATAGTTTAAATCTACTACCCACACATGAACATATGGAAATGGGTTACTATTTAAAAAAATAAATGTATTTATTAATGTATTTAGGAACCTATCCATGTGATTTTTAGTGGGGGTCGACCTCAAATCCTCTAGGGGGGTCCAGGGGCATGCCCCCCTGGTAAGATTTTATTTTTTATTTTGGAGTTAAATGCATCAATCTGGTGCATTTTGAGGGGAAAATAAAGAGACTAGATCTATGGAAACACCTATATGAAACAGAACTGTATACATTTCAATAATCATAAAATCAAGGCCATAACCAATAACATACCATTTCCAATATGAAAAAAACACTGAAACTTGTTTATTAATTTAGTTTTGGTTCATTTATAGTTGTGAGTGTGTCTGTGCTCCTGAATCAGCCTCTCCTGTCTCCCTCCTCTCCCCCCTCTCCCCCCTCTCCCCCTGCTCCTCTTTGAGGCAGCAGAAAAGACTAGTTTTCTCTCAACAAGTTTTAAAAGTGTATCTTACCTTTTTTCACCTAGTTAACTTTTTATTTATTTATTCATGCATATTTTACTAATCACATTACATTTCATTTAGCTGACGCTTTTATCCAAAGCGACTTATAATGACCGATTACAGGGACATTCTCCCTGGAGTAACTAAGGGCTAAGTGCCTTACTCAAGGGCACACTAGTGGTGGTGTTCCTGGCGGGATTTGAACTCACAGCCTTCCGATCTTCAGCCCACCTCACTATCCATTAGACCAATCACTACCCTCTCAAATGGAAATATGTGTTTACATAAATGGTGACCACACCGTTTGAGACCCACTGAGAACTTAGACTAAGTTAACTATCTAAACACTCAGAGAGTCCTTTACCTCACCTGAGCTGAGGTTATCCCGAGCTTGAATGACACACAGAGACCAATCAAGGGCTTTGATTTATGATCTGTATGACAGTGGCCATGTCGGCAGGCCACATCATGTGGACAGCCAGTCACCCTGTGTGAGGCAGGCCACTTAACAGGCCAGAAGGAGGCGAGATCAGAGCAAGGGAGCGAGGGATCATTGTCTACAAGTTAATCGATCGCAGATGGCGTCGTGGTCACGGACGAATAAAAAAATTTTTTTAGAAAAAAAACTAAATGGGTCGCGAAATATACTTGGGCGGCCGTTAATATACCTGGGCGGCCCGCCCAAGTATAGTCTATGTGTGGGAAACCCTGCTAACTGTTTCAACTGTACTTATAGCTAACTATTAGCTAAATGTTTCAACCATACCCATAGCTACCGATTAGCTAACTGCTAGCTTACTGTTTCAACTGTACTTATAGCTAACTATTAACTAACTGTTTCAACTGTACTTATAGCTAACTATTAGCTAACTGTTTCAGCTGTACGTATAGCTAACTATTAGCTAACTGTTTCAACTATACTTATAGCTAACTATTAGCTATTATTATTATTATTTAAACTGTACCCATAGCTACCTATTAGCTACATTACATTACATTGCATTTAGCTGACGCTTTTATTCAAAGCGACTTACAATAAGTACATTCGACCAGGAAGACACAACATTGAAGAAAACAGAATCATATAAGTACATCAGGTTTCATAGAGCCAAACATTTCAAGTGCTACTCAACTGGCTATAGATAAGCCAGTCCTTTATTAGTATATAAGTGCTTTGTTAATAATTATATCGCTCGAAGTGGAGTCGAAAGAGATGAGTTTTCAGTCTGCGCCGGAAGATGTGCAAGCTATCTGCTGTCCTGATGTCAATGGGGAGCTCATTCCACCATCTTGGAGCCAGGATAGCAAACCCACGTGTTTTTGCTGATGGGAACTTGGGTCCCCCTCGCAGCGAGGGTGCAGCGAGTCGTTTGGCTGATGCAGAGCATAGTGCACACGCTGGGGTGTACAGTTTAACCATGTCCTGGATGTACGAAGGGCCAGATCCATTCACAGCATGGTAAGCAAGTACCAGTGTCTTGAAGTGGATTCTAGCAGTTACCGGAAGCCAGTGGAGGGAGCGGAGGAGCGGAGTGGTGTGGGAAAATTTAGGAAGGTTGAAGACCAGACAAGCTGCTGCATTCTGGGTGATCTGCAGAGGTCGGATGGCACATGCAGGTAGACCAGCCAGGAGGGAGTTACAGTAGTCTAGGCGTGAGATGACGAGAGCCTGGACCAGAACCTGCGTGGCTTTCTGTGTCAGCTGGGGACGTATCTTCCTGATGTTGTAAAGCGTGTATCTGCAGCAACGGGTTGTAGCAGCGATGTTTGCAGTGAAGGACAGGTTGTTATCTAGCTAACTGTTTCAACTATACTTATAGCTAACTATTAGCTATTATTATTATTTAAACTGTACACATTATTAGCTATTAGCTAACTGTTTCAACTGTACTTATAGATAACTATTAGCTAACTTTTTCAACCATACTTATAGCTAACTAATAGCTTTCTTTTTCAACCATACTTATAGCTAACTTATCGCTAAATGTTTCAACCGTACCCATAGCTACCTATTAGCTAACTGTTTCAGCTGTACTTATAGCTAACTATTAGCTAACTGTTTCAGCTGTACTTATAGCTAACTTATAGCTAAATGTTTCAACCGTACCCATAGCTACCTATTAGCTAACTGTTTCAGCTTTACTTATAGCTAACTTTTAGCTAACTGTTCTTATAGCTAACTATTAGCTAACTTTTTCAACCATACTTATAGTTAACTATAAGCTAACTGTTTCAACAACACTTATAGCTAACTATTAGCTAAATGTTTCAACAATACTTATAGCTAACTATTAGCTAACTGTTTCAGCTGTACTTATAGCTAACTATTAGCTAACTTTTTCAACCATACTTATAGTTAACTATAAGCTAACTGTTTCAACAACACTTATAGCTAACTATTAGCTAAATGTTTCAACAATACTTATAGCTAACTATTAGCTAACTGTTTCAACTGTAATTATAGCTAACTGTTTCAACCATACTTATAGCTAACTTATAGCTAAATGTTTCAACCATACCCATAGCTACCTATTAGCTAACTGTTTCAGCTGTACTTATAGCTAACTATTAGCTAACTGTTTCAACTGTACTTATAGCTAACTTATAGCTAAATGTTTCAACCGTACCCATAGCTACCTATTAGCTAACTGTTTCAGCTTTACTTATAGCTAACTTTTAGCTAACTGTTTCAGCTGTTCTTATAGCTAACTATTAGCTAACTTTTTCAACCATACTTATAGTTAACTATAAGCTAACTGTTTCAACAACACTTATAGCTAACTATTAGCTAACTATTTCAACAATACTTATAGCTAACTATTAGCTAACTGTTTCAACTGTACTTATAGCTAACTGTTTCAACTGTACTTATAGCTAACTGTTTCAACTGTACTTATAGCTAACTATTAGCTAACTGTTTCAGCTGTACTTATAGCTAACTATTAGCTAACTATTTCAACCATACTTATAGCTAACTATTAGCTAACTATTTCAACCATACTTATAGCTAAATATTTCAACCGTACCCATAGCTACCTATTAGATAACTGTTTCAACTGTACTTATAGCTAACTATTAGCTAACTGTTTCAGCTGTACGTATAGTTAAATATTAGCTAACTGTTTCAACTATACTTATAGCTAACTATTAGCTATTTTTATTATTTAAACTGTATCCATAGCTACCTATTAGCTAACTGTTTCAACCATACTTATAGCTAACTATTAGCTAACTGTTTCAACCATACTTATAGCTAACTTATCGCTAAATGTTTCAACCGTACCCATAGCTACCTATTAGCTAACTGTTTCAGCTGTACTTATAGCTAACTATTAGCTAACTGTTTCAGCTGTACTTATAGCTAACTATTAGCTAACTGTTTCAGCTGTACTTATAGCTAACTATTAGCTAACTTTTTTCAACCATACCTATAGCTAACTATTAGATAACTGTTTCAACAATACTTACAGCTAACTATTAGCGAACTGTTTCAACCACACTTATAGCTAACTTATAGCTAAATGTTTCAACCGTACGCATAGCTACCTATTAGCTAACTGTTTCAACTCTACTTATAGCTAACTTTTAGCTAACTGTTTCAGCTGTACTTATAGCTAACTATTAGCTAACTTTTTCAACCATACTTATAATTAACTATAAGCTAACTGTTTCAACCATACTTATAGCTTACTATTATCTAACTGTTTAAACCGTACTTATAGCTAGCTAACTGTATTCAACTTTACTTATAGATAACTATTAGCTAAATATAAGTGTTTTTTTTGTACATTACGTCCTTCTCAGTAAGAGCAAAACTTTTGGAAAACATAAAATACTTTTTTATCACAAATGTCTTTTATTGGAATGCAGACAGTCTTGCTCTCAGATTTATTTTCTGATTGCATTATAAAGACACATCAGTAACCCCATATTTGTTTACAGCTGCTAAAAAATACTTCTTGAGCTGGGAAGTCGTTCAAAACTCAGGGTGTTTATGAGATTGAGTTGTAATGCGGAAACAACATGGACACTACAAACAAGATAAGTAAACAACATGTTGATTTATGATAGAAAGTGTCTTTATTTTGCATATTCAAAGTGCCATTTCATATTTTTGTGTCGAATTTGGATCAGTGGTGCAGCCTTCAGTCCTAAACCCGGGAATGAGTAATACATAATGATGAGAACAAATTCCAAAGATTAAACCATATATGTGTCAAAGTCATAAACACAGGACAGAAAACTTAGACCGGACTTGAAAAAAAAATATTTATTTTTTATAATTTAATTTGTGTTTTTCTTGAAATATTTACAGGCTTTGAATTTTTCTGAGACACTTTAATTGTCCAGATTTAACTTTAATTTCTAATAAGGAAATACCATGTTAAATAAAAATGTTTTAACATGTTACATCAACAAACAAACCAATCTAAATAACCTTGCTGTTTAAACATAGGAGCCTTTAAAGATATAATCAATAATGTCATGTAGACCCTTCACCCTAAAACATAAAAGATTGAAATTCGGAAACAGGAGCAAACGTATAATATTATAATTACATTATAAATTCAGAAAATGTTACATGTTTGTAAAGTGCAGTCAACCTGGTTTCTGGTTCAAGCTTACTGAGTGTATTTTGATCACTTTAATAAAACAATAAAAAAAGTCTTTCACAAAAACCCCTTAAGTATTTCAGAAAACCCCCCCAAAAAAACCTAAATACATCATTGAGGAAATAAAACGTTGACTTGACCAAGAAAAACATTTAATTATATTAAAACGTTTTTTGTTGTTGTTGCTTTTGTCTTTCTTATTTGTGTTTTGTTTTATCATATTTGAAAACCAGTTTTTTTTTACACTTTTCTTATAATTGGTTGTTATACTGTAAATGTCATCTACAACACAATGACAATCATCATCGTCGTCATCATCATCATCAACATCATCTATTTCTGTTGTTCTACCCTCACAGAGACAGTCAATGGTAAGATCTGCAGTGGGAGAGTATCCTCATTATTAATGTATGGAAACACCCTCTCAGTGAAATTGTGTGTGAAGGTGTGTATGTGTGTGTTAGTGTCAGGATCAGAGAATGACAACTTTCCTCTGTTCCAGTCCAGATTCACTCTGACCCTCCGGAGCTTCTTCTCTAATGGGAGAACAATACTTCCATCTGGTGGGGAGAGTGCATAACATTCACCCTCACTGAACCATATTCTCCATGATCCAAACCGTATGTCTGCCTTCCTGTCGACAGACTCTGCTAACACACCAAGTTCCCAGTCTGTACAGTCTTTAACCCAGATGTCCCAGCTGGGAGTCCCTGAGTTAAAGCCCTCAGAGCCCAGGACAGAGTGGTATGAACCATTAAGCCTCTCTGGATTATTAGGAAGTGTCTGTCTCCCTCGTCCACTCACACTGGTCAGATCTACAGACAGGGTGAGGTTTGAATTAGCAGTGTTTGGGTCCAGGATGAGAGGAGAGTAGGACACCATGTCCTTCATCTTGCTCCAGATGTTGAAGCTGAGGTTGCCCAGGTGTTTGGCCTGGTCTATCAAAGCACCTGAGGGCAGCTGTGGATCCTCCAGCAGGGGGCACTGCAGCCTCTCCACTGCGGCCTTGTAGTTGAGCAGGAAGGAGACGTCTTCAGCTCTCAGCTCCTCCTCTGTGGCTCTGACTGTGTGTGAAAGAGCTACTATCTCTCTGCTCACAGCCTCCATCTTCTCCTCCATCACCCTCCTCTTCTGCTTCTCTTCCTCCCTCAGTGCAGCCATCCTGGCCTCCTCTTCCTCTTCAAGAAACTGGTGAAGCTTCTGAAACTGCTCCTTAATCTGCGTCTCTGTGCGTTGAGCCTGGAGCTTCATGTATCCTGCTGTGTGAGCACACTTCACTTTAACTTCTTCAAAAGTCTTTAACTTCTTCTTGAAGGGCTTCAGAGATGTCAGGAGCTTCTCTTTGAGATCCTGAGCAGCTTCATCGATGGGTCTGAAGCTGTGGTTGGTGTGTGTTTTTGAATCTCTGCAGACGACACACACTGGCTGCTGATGGTCCAGACAGAAGAGTTTGAGTTTCTCAGAGTGCAGACTGCAGAGAGCCTCTGGAGATCTCTGATCTCTCTCCTGTAGGAAACTCTCACACAGGTTCTTTAGCACCAGGTTAGAAGGAGGCTCTGACCGTGAAGATCGTCTCTTACAAAGTGGACACTCTTTGATCACTTTCCCCGTCCACCAGCTCTGCAGACAGTCTCTACAGAAGCTGTGGCTACAGGACAGGACGACAGGATCTTTAAAGACTCCATGGCAGACAGAACAGCAGAAATCTTCCTCTAATCTGGAAGCCATTTATTCTCAGAGTGAAGCAGAAAACACGGCAGCAGCCGCTCCCTGTCCCTGAAAGTTACTTCCTCTTTGACTTCTGGTAAAACTCCGGTTCAGTGATTCAGCAGCTGCTTGAAGTGGAAGTATTCCAGTTTCCCTCCTGTAGCCGTCCTCTCAGGGGAAGTGCTGCTCTTAGTCTAAAGGTGACTCTTACCGTCCGTCTCTCTTTGTGTGTGTGTGTGTGTGTGTGTGTGTGTGTGTGTGTGTGTGTGTGTGTGTGTGTGTGTGTGTGTGTGTGTGTGTGTCGTCTCAGTAAACAGAATAACAACCTGTTTCCTGGTTTGTCACAGTGTGCCATGTGGTGGGCGGATCTTCATATTACAGTATGTTTGCATGTAGAGGGGGAAGTAAAACAGGGAGTGGTAACAGAAAATGAGAAGCTGGGTGGGAGACAGATGTGTTTAATTCTCTTTGCAGCTTATAATACGTCCAGCACTGTCTGCAGTGATAATGTGCAATATTTAAGAAGAACTCTGCAAGTTATAGACGGTAAAATACTGTGTTAGTGTCTGAAAGGTAAAGCTGATAAAGTAAAAACAATATCACACATCATTTCACTAAAAACAGGTCTGGGGCCAGTTGGGTGATGCTTATACTGGTCTCAGACAGTTAGCTCCCCATAATAATGTGTGTAAACAGTAGTTAACCTGGTTCAAGCTTACTGAGTGTATCTGGATCACTCTGAATGTGTATTGCACTAATAAAGCAATACACATTCTAGTTGAATAAAAACTATTAAAGTATTGCTGAAAAAAATCCCACTAAATGTGCTGAATACATAATTCAGGAATGATTTTTGCTCCATCTAACAGAGAATGAGAAGCATAACCTAAGATTAGTGGGAAAGGAGGGACACCTGCTGGCAGACATATCAAGCTTATATAAATTAAAACAGTAAAAGACCATGTTTGTTCCTGCTTGAGAGTTGTAAAGTTATAATGCATAACTCAGTCAACCTCAGTTATTTAAATAAACTCAATTTGCAAAATGTTTTCACTGTTTATCAATTAATTTTAGCCAAATATTAGCAAAGTGTTTCAACTGTCTATCCCATACTTAAAGCTAAGTATTAGCTAACTGCTTTTATTGATCTATTAGCATTAATGTATTACTTTTAGCTAACTATTTTAACTGTTTATGAATTATTTTAGCCAATTATTTCAACCATTAATCTAATAATTTCAGATAATCATTTAAACCGTTTGTCCAATTTTTGTATCTAACTATTCATACAGTTTATACAATACTTTTCGCTAACTGCTAGCTAACTGTTTCAACCGTACTCAGAGCTAACTATTAACTAACTGTGTCGACCGTACTTATAGCTAACTATAAGCTAACTGTATTCAACCATACTTAAAGCCAACTTCTAGCATAATGTTTCAACCGTTCTTATAGCTAACTTGTTGCTTAATGTTTTAATTGTACTTATAGCTAACTATTAGCTTACTGTTACTACTTTGCTTATAGCTAACTATTAGCCAACTGTTTCAACTGTACTTATAGCTAACTATTAGCTAACTGTTTCAACCATACTTATAGCTAACTATTAGCTAACTGTTTCAACCGTACTCATTGCTATGTTAATACATAGCGATGATTACGGTTGAAACAGTTAGCTAATAGTTAACAGTGTCAACTGTATTTATAGCCAGGGGTTAAATTGGGCCGTGGAAGGAAGGAAGGAATTACTGTGAAGTAAAAACTTCTTTGCAGCAATGTTGAGCCAATCATCAAATGAGGGAAACTGGATTCGCCTGTCATTACACTGATATTTATTGAGAGACAAACGGCCGGAGGATTAACAAAGCAACTCGCACTGTTCAATGCAAGCTGCCAAAATTAACTCTAAACACAAAAGACAGAAACATCTCTATATATCTTTTAAAGGAGGGGTCTAAACAGCCCGCCTTTTCCCCTAATCGATTACAGATGAACAGACAAAGAAACTCTGTCTGAGCGGGCAGTAAAACCCCCTCCTCCACACAGAAACTCATGTGAAGTTTCTCAGGTCAGCTAAGCATCAGACTAAAATATTCCTTTACAATTACAATGTTCAAATATATATATATATATATATATATATATATATATATATATATATATATATACATACACTACACTTAAAGGTGGGGTAGGTAGGTTTCAGAAACCGGCTCGAGATACACTTGTTATATTCCATGGAATGCTCTTAACATCCCGATAGCAATGAATATCTGAAGTGCTTTGACAAAAAATCCATAAAAAAATGTCATCTGTGGAAGCCGTCTAAACGGATTGGATTGCCGCCCTGTCTGTCAGCCTTCCATCTCGTGCACGCACAAATGTATCTCGTGCCCTCATTGGGCGTGCCGTCATTGGGCGTGCATTGCAGCAGTACTTCAATGACTCGCCAGCAACAGGCGGCCACTTTCACCAGTCTGCTGACGTCATGTGCGCGTTCATGTGTGTTGGAGGAGGTGCTCTGTAAGGAAGTCTGAAGGAAGGGGCAGATTCTTTTCGGCTGTGTACTTTTAAATGTTAGTGCACTCGAGCCGGTTTCTGAAACTTACCTACCCCACCTTTAATATATTTTAATACATTTTAACATATGACTCTTACATATACGTCTAAATATATTGTCAACATTTTTTAATAGACTCTGCTATAATTCGCTGAATACAGTAATGCGAGACAAAAACAACCAAATTAAATATGGTCTCAATTATTAATGTTTAACTATTTACAATACAACACAGTCTCACGGCATTTCGTGTTATAGTCATGAAATGAATCTATTGATTCGTGTTCACCAACACGATTTCGCCATTTTTTTCGTGTCACACAGAACGATTTTAAAAGCAATGTAAATAATAACAAATTAGAAGGAAAAAGAGATTTTTTAAAAATACAGATTTCAGTATTCTGACACAGAACGATTTTAGAAACAATGTATTTCTATTGGTAGTATGTTTCGTGCCTGCACCAAATAATAACAATTTAGAAGGAAAAAAAGATGATGAAAAATACAGATTTCAGTGTTCTGAGGCTCCTCTGAGCCACATTTAATTTCCTCGCGGACGGCAAAAAAACTCCGACATTATACAATTTAAAATAAAAGGCATAGGGATAGGCTTAGGGTAAGATATTGAGTAAGAAAATGTTTTTATGAACCACACAGCTTCTGGTCTTTCAAGACCCGACCGGACAAAAAGACGTGGTGCAGGCACGAAACACACTACCAATAGAAATACATTGCTTTTAAAATTGTTCTGTGTGACACGAAAGAAATGCAAAAATCGTGTTGGTCAACACAAATCAATAGATTCAATTAATTTCGTGACTATAACACAAAATGCTGTGAGACTGGGTTGTACAATATAGAGGCATACTATACGTTTACATAAACACCAAAATGATGGCTTCAGTTGGCAGTTGCTCCTGTTCGTCCAATATGAAGAGAAAACCCGTCCTTACCTGTCACAAGTTGTGCCTCCTCATCCGGTACCATTTTGTAGTCCTAGGAATACCTAAGTCTGACAATCTTTTGTACATGGTTCTCAAGTTTTTTCTCTTTTTGCGAATGAAAATCAACTACAGAACTTTGCCAGGCACAGATTATTCTGCCGCTGAGGGTAGCTGGTGAGTGGCGACGCGTGCGTGCCTAACTTTCACCTCGCTTCTATAGCGTTGCTAGGATAAAGACCGCAGTGCCAACTTGCAATCTCCATTTTCTAATAACATTGTTACACTTAACTGTTTGTTTTGTGTACCCTTAACTGTTTGTTTTGTGGGCTTTACGAATTTAGCAATAATACAATTGAAGTTGGCTGGTTACATTTAATTCAGGGGGAGTACGACCCTGAATTGGACAAGGAATATCTGGTATGGTGGCCCTTAAATGGAAAATTGATGGCTTGGACTGCTAAGATATTAACAACTGGCGGTAAGTTGGCATATTTAAATATATCATACATGTACAGCTTATCATTATTATTAACAGTTGTTAAGTCTGTTTATTTGTTAATACATAGCAGTGGCGGCTTGTCAATAGAGGGCGCTTGGGTGGAAAGTGTTATATTTATAATAAGTACCATTATTACAGTATGTTTCATTACCCTCTCGTCTGGGACAAAAAGCGCCCGTCAGTGCAGCAGCCAACCAATCGCTGACCTAATTTCCTGCCATAACTCCACAAACAAACTAAACAGGTTTTACAAATACCTTATGATTCACTAACAAACACAGTGTGGTTTGCAAATACAAAACAACATCTACAAATTAATGCATTTAGTTTTGCAAATAAAAAAACGTATCTATCAAACAAACACATTACATTTGTCTAATAAATGATGTTTCAGAGACAAATTCAGCAGGTTTTACAAGTACAAAACTTTTTTTTACCAGGTCACGGAATATCACGTGACTTTTGGCATTAATATTCCGCCATGGTTGTTCTCAGGATTTTCTAACAAATGTAATACAGACTCACACATACTCACTCACACATGCTCCACGGCAGCAGGGGGCGCGACTGAGTCCATTTGGACGGCAGGAGGTTGAGCAGAGCATGGAACAGCCCTTGCCAGTCTGATGACAGCGGTGTTTTTACATTACATTACATTACATGTCATTTGTTTAGAGCAGGGGTGCCCACACTTTTTGGGCTGGTGAGCTACTTTTGAAATGACCAGCTCACCGAGGTCTACCAACCAAAAATAAAATCCCAAATTGCAAGGGTTGCTGAATAACACGTTTTATTTATACATGGGATAACTACACTAGCGCTGCAACAAACGACTCATTTGATATCTATCGATTAATGAAACGATTAATCGACTATTCGGACTATTACTGTATGCCTTGCACAATTTCTCAAACGCTCTTATTTAGCCATCAACTTTTAGATTTAGCTTGAGGTTGTTTTAGGCATGTGGAAACTAACAAGACAATCAAAATGAATACTTTATTCAAAAATACATATTATTAAATTAACTTAACAAATTGTTTACAAAATTAACATTGCTTTTTATTTAAATTAAATAAATAATATTTCACATTAAAAAAAACAACAGTGTTTTAACAAATGGTATTAAATAATGTGATGACAGAACTGTAAACAGAATAGCTGAAACTTTAACAAAATAAATAACTCAGTTTCCTCTAATCATTAACCCATGCTTGTATAATGTCGTTAACTCCGTGTGTTGCTGCTAGCATACATAACACCTGACGTGGAAACGTTACTCGTGGATGGGGCTACAGAGCTGCTAGAAA